ACTGTTCTCTCTTGACGTTAACCTGACACTATCCAAATGATTCTGAAGAGACCAAAACAAGATAAAATACGACGGTGCAATGTCACAAGTATATAGTGGATGCATTTATTTATTTATGCTTTATTTGCACACCGAGTACAAAAAGGCTGACTTAATGCAACAAGGCATTCTCTGCCAGTCTACTTCCAGGCTAAGCAGAGAAGATATTGTGGGTGCAAAGTGCAACTTAGTTAAAACATCTTTAAGTAGACATACACATTACATATTACATTACACGTTATAAACATAATTATACATATATATTATTATATAGATATACATACAAGATATATAAATATATACATATATATGCGTAATGCTGCCCTAATATGCTTATATATATATATATATATATATATATATATATATATATATATATATATATATATATATATATATATATATGGTACATACATAGTTAAATATACCTGTTTCTGATTCAAACACCTATGAAATATTTGAAATAAAAACAGAAAAAGGGAACAGTTAGAATTTAAGAATATAAAAAATGTTAATCGGCAAACTACTCCTGCAACGCCAGAAAATGATTCCATAGCAGGAGTTTGAACGATGCCTTGCTCGTGGCTGCACGTACACTACTTGGTAGCTCGTTCTACAATCACCGCGTGACACGTAAAAGATTTATACAAGAAGCTAGTGTGACAGAGGGGGACATGGAGATTAGACTTTTCCGCAGAACGGAGACAATGATTATGAGAATCACCCTGATACTGAAATTTACATTTAAGATATTCATGCATTCACTCTCCTCAACGAAGTTCTCTCAATTATTGCTGAGTGAGAACATATTTCTGTTGATAAATTCAGGACTCTTCTTCTCAATTTCTTGCTTGAGTCTCATTAGTTGTTTTCAGTGGAAATTCGAATGAAAATCCGAATCTGAAAGAAATCCGATTATTTTGCCCGACTGTAAAAGCCCATATTAAACATTGACATACCAATCCTGCCATACACACAGAATCACGTTATTGCGTGTTAATCCAGGTTTCGCTACAGTCTGTGGAGCTTGACTACCCTTTGACTATGATATTTGTTGCACTTTCTTATCATAGGTGATCCACTTTTCATTACCAGTGATCAATATTTTCGAAAACTGTTCGGTTTCATTACGTTTCAATAGATAATCGCAAATGAGTACACGATTCATTCGGTTTTTTTCTTTGAGCTCGTGACGTATCCAAAATCGAGCTTTTTTGTTTAGATAGACTTTTTCAAATGGGTCAAATCTATTTGTGGTCAATTCCCAACTCCTCGGCTATCTCGCAACTACTAATATGCTCCACTTCTTCAAAAATGGCATCGACTTTATCCATATGAAGGTGACCAGAGCGAGGTGCATCTTTGACATCAAAATTCCCGGGCTGAAAAATCTTGAGCCAACTTTGTGCTACTCTTACTGACACTGCATGAGGTCAATAAACGTCACTAAATTTTTTTGCGGCTTGAGTTAAATTTTTGCATTTTCATAATAAATCTTCAGAAGGTATCGAATTTCTCCGGTAGATTCACTCAGTTTGAAGAACAGAAAAACAATTGAAAATGGCGGCAGTATTTTAAACTTTTTATTTTTCTTAATTTCCTATATGTACTGATATTAAAAAAGTCAGTTGCAAACAGTACAAACTAAGACATTTTTCTTCAATTTTACGCAAACAAAATACGAAAAAACTTTTTCCCTGACCTATTAATTATAAATTACTATTTAAAAAAAATCCCGCTAAGTTTCTTGCTGGTTCTTCTCAGGATACTTTCTTTTTCTAAACCAGTGGTAAAAATATAAATGAATTTAAAATTTTCGCTAAATATTCTTGTAAGTTATATTGAATAAAAATATTCTGTTTTATTAAATTCTATTCGCAATTAAATAAATTTTATTCTAAGAACTTCGATTCTATTTAATACGAAACTTATGTTAATTAATTGAATTATTCAAATATTATTCAAAGAAAATGAATTCCTTTTAGAGAAATTACAAAATTACAATTAAAACTAAATATGTTTGTGAAATTTTCATTCTGATTACATTAACGAACATATCAGTCGAGGAACCTAATATGCTAGATTGTAGCAGGTTATTAGTGAAAGTGGGTCATCAAACTGCTATCCTTGCTGTTTACAGACTTTGTGGTTTTAAGTAAATAGATAATTTTATCACGTCATTAGACATTACACTTGGGAAACTGTCGTCGTTCAAAAATATAGTGTTAACGGGTGATATGAATATTGATATTAACCTAGAAGGCAGTGAAGGCGGAGCAAAAGACTACCCTAATATATGTGCATGCCAGGGCCTGCTTCCAACACATTTGCTCCCTACACATCTAAGTGGTTCTTGTTTAGACCACACTTTACTAAAAACTAGGTTACCATCTATAACCCTTGTCATCAGTCCTATAGTAACCGATCATAGTGCCGTCATTCTTAACTTAATCCTTAAAATATTAAAACCTGATTGTAAGTACTCTATTACTAAAACTAATATGAAAAACCTTGAACAAGCAATTCAAAACATTGACTTTAGCCCAGTTTATAAAACCGATGATGGAAACATTTCTTTGCCTTACTTAATAAGTAACGTACAAAATGCCATTGCTAGCAATACTTCGTATAGAACAGTAGCTAAAAAAATAACTTAAAGCCTTGGATTACACCTGGCCTGATTAAGTTCATGAAACACAGGGATAAACTACATCTGATGGCAAAGTCCTCTTCAGATAATTCCGTTTTACAAATTTCATATAAAAGATATAGATATTTCATATAATAAATTTAATATAATTTATTAAAAAAGTTGAAGTATAATTATCTTACAAAATTACTAGAAGAATCTGGTAGAGATAATAGAAAGATTTGGCGGCATGTAAAAGATATTGCATTTATTTCCAAACAGCATGAATCTTCGTCAGAATTATTACAAAATAATTCCTCGCCGCTTATATCAGCAAATACAGCAAATAATTACTTTGTGAACGTTGGTAAAAATCTGGCTGAGCAGATAACAAACAATTCTAACAATAATCGTAAATACAGGGCCTTCAATCGTAAATCGTAAATCAAACCTTCTTAACTCAAAAAACTGCCAATTAAGCGCTTTCACAGTATTAGAAGTATTATAATGGGACTGAAAGAAACAAGCGCGGTTGCATGGGACGGCATACCCATTAGTATATTAAAAAAATATGGACAAATTCTAGTACCACCATTAACCCATATTTTCAGAATTTGTCTCCCTGAAGGAATTTTCCTAGATTGTTTAAAAAAAGCAATTGTAGTTCCAGTTTCAAATCGGGGGACAAAAAAAAACGTTTCCAATTATCGACCTATCTCAATACTCTCATCCACGTCTAAAACATTAGAAAAATTAATTAACAACAGATTAATGAATTATTTACAAAGTAAATTCATATTATCGAATATGCAATATGGTTTCAGGCCTAAACTGTCCACTGCTGATGCTGTGCAGGAAATGACCGATTACATCTCTCAAGAATTAGATAAAGGCAACTAATCAATTGGCAATTTCCTTGACCTTGCAAAAGCATTTGATACGGTTTCTATTCCTATCCTATTAAATAAGTTAGAGAGCATAGTTATTCGAGGTAAGCAGCTTCAACTTTATGAGAATTATTTATAAAATCGATATCAATGCATAAAAATCGATAAGGTTGTTAGCTCTGAATAAAAAAATACTCATTTTGGCGTGCCTCAAGGAAGTGTATTAGGGTCAACCTAATTTTTGATTTATATAAATGACCTTTGCAATCTTGAACTAAACTCAGGTAAAATAATATCTTACGCAGATGATACCGTGCTACTTTTTCCGCAAATACAGTTGACAAGGTTTTTTTATATGCTCAGCAAGGTTTTGATAGAGTTAATAAATGGCTCCAACAAAACTTATCAACACTGAATACGGACAAAACCAAATATATTCATTTTTCTATGCGCAGCTCAACCCAGCATGCAACCATTCCAGAAATTTATGCACATCAATGTTACTATCCAACCCAGTTATTTCTTATACAAAAACTATTAAGTACCTTGAAATAATTATAGATTCTACGTTTACATTTAAAAACCACCTATGCAATAGAGTTCATAAACTAATGTTTGTTTTTTTTAAAAAATCGTTCTTTTGCTGATATTAAGATAGTAAAACAAGTGTATTACGCATTATGTCAGTCAATACTCACCTATAGTATAATATCATGGGTTGGAGCAGCTAAAACTAAACTGCTACCACTGGAACGCGCTCAAAGAGCTGTATTAAAAGTTGCAACATTCCGCCCTATTCTATTTCCATCCCATCTCTTATACAAATCCTATAATTTCCTCTCAGTGCGCCAGTTATTCGTTATGAGAACGTTACAAAAACAGCACTTAAAATTGCCCTATAGAAGACAGGTCACTGATAAAAGACACAAAGATAAAGTAATTGAAACTAACATTAGAATAAGGCATTGTTTCATTCATAATTTTTTTGCCTTCCTCGGCCCTTTTTTGTATAATCAAGTCAATGCAATTTTGTACATACTCGTATATCCATTAAAAATGGCAGACTGTAAAAAGGTAATTCGAACATGGTTACAAAATTTGTCATACGATGATACGGAGAAGTTGCTGATTGTTTTAAGTAAATTAATATCATAAGTAAATTAATGATAATATATTTACCCAAATATCCCTTATTAGTACGTTATTCATTTTATATAAGAAACAGAAAATATTTCTTAATGTATCTTTTAGCACATACACCTTAGAGACAGGTTTATCCTAGTTTAGGTGCCTGTTATTGTAGACTATTATTAAGTTAAGACTTATTGGAATAATTTGTACAGTTTATCAAAATTAAAAAAAATATTATTGTGGGTTATCCATTAACGCTCCTTTTAGGGTTTTGAGATCTGGCATAGGCTGATCGCAAGATGCCGCTCTTTTGTTTAAATTGTGAGGTGGCGACGTACTATCGCTGTCGTATCCAAAATTACAGCTTTTTGAATTTTGTTCCTCACCCTCACTGAAATCTTAGCTAAATTGTCAGTAAGGGATTTAGGAACAACTCCCGTGGTAGAGAGAATCAGCGGGACGATAAGTACCTGCTGCTGTCGCCTTAACTGTCGGATTTCTTCAGATAACCGCGGGTACTTAGGCAACTTTTCAGTGCTGTACTTCTGCACATTATGCGAGTTTGGAATGCCAATATCCAACAACCACGTCCGCTTCTCCTCCTTTTCTACTAATATTATGTCCGGTCGATTATGCTCAACGGTCCGGTCAGTTAAAACTAACATATCACAATAAAGTTGGGCAGAATCATTCTCGAGTACCGGGGATGGATTGTATTTCCAGTAGGATTCTGCCTCCTTAAGGAGACTGTATTTTACTGCCAGCTTTTGCTGCACAATTTTTGCCACGTTGTCATGGCGCTGGGTGTACTCGGTTCCAGCAAGAGCCTGGCAGCCGCCAGTTACGTGCTGGATGGTCTCTGGTCCCCGTCGGCACTGGTCATCTTCGATACCTGTCCTGACAATGTACTTAAGATAATGTTTCGTAGGCACCCTTTCTTATCCTTATGTGGTTCTCCGCAGTCATCATCCGCTCGCCCAGATAGCAAAGGATCGTACTCCATTGCCCCATACACTGCTCGAGGAAGTCTCCAACTGTACAGTCAATTTTGTACAACCGGAGGACTCTCTTTAGCCATGTATGGGGCACCGAGTCGAATGCCTTTCTGTAGTCTATCCAGGCGGCGGAGAAATTCCGACGGTTACGTTTCACCACTTTGCCAATGACCGCGTCAATGAGGAGTGGTTCCTTGGTTCCACGACCACCGCCCCCGGCATCCATTTTGAGCGCGTGACATCACCTGATTTAGCTCCAGGTGACGAGTGATTCTCGCGCTCAATATGGATGTCAATGTCTTATATATGGTGGGTAGACACGTGATGGGGCGGTATTTGCTCGGGTCTGTAGTATCCTGATATTTAGGAACCAAGTGAGTGATTCCAGTAGTGAAGAGTCTCGGGAGCGACTTCTGATCGAGAGCCTCTTGATACTGTCGGGCGAGCACAGCGTGACACACTACGAACCCCTTCAGCCAGTAATGATGCAGCCCGTCGAGCCCCGGAATTTTCAAGTTCGGGGCCCTACGGACCGCCTCAGCCACGTCTTCAGGCGTTATGGTGACGGGGTCCATAGGCGTAACACTTGCACTCTGGCTCGCCACAACTTCCATCCAAGGGCCCTCGCTGTGGTTTACGGGCTCTGACCACAGGCCACGCCAAAATGCGACAGTGTCAGCCTGATCCGGTCCTGGGCCCGCTCTACATACCTCTGGTCGCTTCAATGATTTATAGAGCCTCTTCTGATCACTCTGGAAGAGGCGATTTTGGTTGAACCGCCTTGACCTCTCGCTAAATCGTCGAATCCGCTTCCCCCAAGCAGCGATTTTTTGCTTCAGGTCATCTATGCGCTCCGTTAGTTTTTGCGTGATATACGGTTGGAACAAACTGATATTTGTCCCAGCAAACGCCATTATTATTATTATTGGGTATCTATATAGTTTTCTCATCTGGTTGGGTTCTATAAATATATAATTATAAATGAAAATGAAAAAGGGAAGTCTGCAGTCTGCGAACATGTTCAAGATCGTCCCCACCATTACATTAGATTTGATAAACCACAAATTCTCGCAAAAGAACACCGATTCCTACCAAGGATGATACGCGAGGCTATTGAAATTAAAAAACAAAATTAAACCCAAACCCAAGCATACCACTGCAAGACTTCATGATACTATAAGCTCGTTTTGCGTAAATCGGACCAAAAATTAATATTAAAAAACTGAAGGTAGCCGGACTAACTATGACATTGGGACGTCAAACATCTCAGTCCCCCCCGTGACCATGGGCGCTGTAAAGCACCCGAAACGTCGGGATAATAATAAAAATAAATTAAAGTAATTAAACGCGATAAAATCCGTAAATAATAGTTTTATTCAATGAAAATGAAAAGATAAATATACATAAATATCAATAACATAAAATTAATATAAAAGTACATAAATAAATAAAAGCCCAACCAGATGGAGGCCCTCGGCAGGGGAGACCAAACGGACGAGGGTTAGGGGGAAAGGGAAAGAAACCGGCGGACGATGCGGGCGGTATCGAGGAGCACCGCCTTCTGCATTTGAGCCTGGAGCGGTCCGCCACGTAGTCCCAGCCGCCTCAGATGACCCGAGAGGCTGACTGGGATTAGCCCATTCGCAGAGACGACTACAGGAATAATTTCGGTCGGCAGACCACCCCACATGTCGGTCACCTCGTGAGCCAGGTCCAGATATTTTGTTTGCTTATCTGTTTCGGCTTTCACAAGGTTCTCGTCATACGGAACGGTAATGTCGACCAAAAATATCCTTGACAGTGCCCGGTCCATCAGCACAATATCAGGCTTATTCGCAAGAATAGTCCTGTCTGTGATGATGGCCCGGTCCCAATAGAGCCTGGCGCGATCATTTTCGAGCACGGCTTCCGGCAAGTACTTGTAATACGTCAATTTCCGATCCACGAGACCGTATTTCAGAGCGAGCTCCTGGTATAGAATTCTGGCTACTAGGTTGTGCCTGTACAAGTACTCAGAGTTAGAAAGCGCCGAACAACCGGAGATAACATGCCTAAGTGACTCACCGGGAAGGCGACAAGCTCGACAGATGTCGACGGTGCCATCCTTTAGGATGTATCTCCGATAGTTGTTGGTCTTAATAACCTGATCCTGTATTGCACAGACAAAACCCTCGGTTTCCCCGAAGAGATCACCAAAGCGTAGCCAGTGGAGGGAGGCTACTGTGTCTACGAAAGGCTCATGTGGAGCCTTGTAGAACCTCCCGTGGAGCTCTTTCTCCTTCCATACGGTCTCTCGGTCGGAAATGCTCTGCACTGCCGGGTCTTGCCATTGCTCGTTGGCTAAGGATAGAGGGGTAAGTACTTTATCACAAGAAATGACGTCCTTATAGAATGGATCATCCGATCTCGCCAGGAAGTAATCACGGAGGCTGCATACTTCGCGATTATGCATGGTGAGCGCGCTCAAGAAGCCACGACCACCATGCTTCCGCGGCAAGAACAGCCTCATTACCGATGATCTCGGATGATAGATCCTATGGGACGTCATGGTAGTGCGGACTTTTCTATCCAGGGCGTTAAGTTCAGTCTGAGTCCACCTGAGTATGCCAAAGGTATACATGAAGACAGGCATGACCCAGCCGTTATATGCGTGTGCCTTATTCACACCGGACAAAAGGCTGTTAAGCACTTTGGTCAAGCGTGCATAAAACACGTCGCAAACTGACTGTTTCATACCAGTCTCATCGATACCGATGTTTTGTGACATACCCAGGTATCGGTATGTTTCAGCCTCGGAAAGGGTTATTAAGTTGACGGGCATAGATAAGTCTATGCCCTCAGAGTTGGCAACCCTTCCCCTTTCAACATGGAGGACCGCACACTTATCCGTCCCAAGCTCCATTCCAATGGAATTGCTGAATTCACAAGTGAATTTAATTAGAAAGAAATTCCATAAGATGGGAGCGACTGGAGGCGAATAACTTGAGGTCATCCATATAGAAAAGGTGGGTCACTTTTGTCCCTCCTTTCCGTAGCTGAAATCCCCTCCCGGAGCCCTCCAGTAAGGTACTGAGAGGGTTCAGAGAGAGGCCGAACCAGATTGGACTCAGACAATCGCTCTGGAAGATACCCCTTCTTATCCTTATGTGGTTCTCCGCAGCCATCATCCACTCGCCCAGATGACAAAGGATCGTACTCCACTGCCCCATACACTGCTCGAGGAAGTCTCTAACTGTACAGTCTATCTTGTACAGCTCGAGGATTCTCTTTAGCCATGTATGGGGTACCGAGTCGAATGCCTTTCTGTAGTCTATCCAGGCGGCGGAGAAGTTCCGACGGTTGCGTTTCACCACTTTGCCAATGACCGCGTCAATGAGGAGTCGTTCCTTGGTTCCACGACCACCGCCCCGACATCCATTTTGAGCGCGCGACATCACCTGATTTGAGTCCAGGTGACAATTGATTCTCGCGCTCAAAATGGATGTTAGTGTCTTGTATATGGTCGGTAGATACGTGATGGGGCGGTATTTGCTCGGGTCTGTGGTACCCTGGTCTTTAGGAACCAAATGAGTGATCCCAGTAGTGAAGAGGCTTGGGAGCGACTTCTGGTTGAGAGCCTCTTGAAACTGTCGGGCGAGCACAGAGTGACACACCATGAACCCCTTCAGCCAGTAGTGATGCAGCCCGTCAAGCCCCGGACTTTTCCAGTTCGGGGCCCTAAGGACCGTTTCAGCTACGTCATCCGGCGTTATGATGACGGGGTCCATGGGCGTAATACCCGCACACTGACTCGCCACAACTTCCGTCCAAGGGCCCTCGCTGTGGTTTACGGGCTCTGACCACAGGTCGCGCCAGAATGCTACAGTGTCGGCCTGATTCGGTGCTGGACCCGTTCCACTTACCATTGGTCGCTCCAATGATTCATAGAGCCTCTTCTGATCACTCTGGAAGAGACGATTCTGGTTGAACCGTGTCGACCTCTCGGTATATCGCCGAATCCGCTTTCCCCAAGCAGCGATACTCTGCTTCAGATCATCTGTGCGCTCCGTCAGATTTTGCGTGATATCCGGCTGGGACAAACTGACATTTGTCCCAGCAAACGCCATCCTGAGGGTGCGCACAATTCTTGGCCTGTTGTTGCCTGATCTGAAGCATATCAGTCTGCCGATGAGAGCTCTAGCCTTTGCGATACGTTCCTCAATTCTTCTTCTTCATGCTGGGATAACGCTACTTTGGCCAGTGGCGCGTCCAGCCGTGGAAACCTTGGTGCCTATGATACGGCAGACTGCCAGCGCGGCGCCAAAAAGAATTGAGTCCGTCTCGCAAAAGGTCCCGGCTGGCTTCCAAATATGTCACCAGCGTTGGGTTCAGAACCCTCACGACAGCCCGATTCCGCTTGCTTAGGGCTATGCGGGGAAGTCGCGGTCGATTTTCGTGAGGCGTACTGCGCGTCTCCACAATCGCCTCTTCCAATGTACTCCTCATATGCTCTAATTCCAGTTCCTGGGCGACTGTTCCATCATCGTTTGAATCATCCACAACCGGGGTATTCACGGCGGCATCCACGTTTGCGGGTTGCTCTACCATTTGTGGTGTGGTACCATCCTCAGCCGTAGCATTCTCATCCGACGAGGGAACAGCCTCACGTCGTAGCCGTTCGAGTTCAGCGACATCAAATATATTTGAGCGCAAGATATACCGAAATCGGTCTGCCAGGTTTTGCTCTGTGACGGTTAAAGATGGCTCCAGCTCAGCAAAAAGACGATGCATCCTAGCCCGATACGCCAAACATCCAGTTTCTTCCCCTTTTGCCCTAAAGTACGCCCGCAGTGCGTTTGCATTCATTGCTTGTGACCAACGCATGCGACGTGCTCCACCAGCGGCGGGTGCCGCTTGCTGAGTCCGAGAAGACCCAGCCGACACCAAGCCTTCTGGTGGGGATGATGGATGCGGAGGGCTGCTAGGCGACCGTGCAGCTCCTCGCGCTCGGCTGGCGGCCCGCATGCTGCCGCGTCCAGCGCCAGCTCCAGACGCGCCCCGGCGACCCCCATGCAGCGGCCCTTTTCGCACTATCTTCTTATCCATCATCCATTATTTGGGCGTCCATTAAGTCCATTAAGTTTCGTGTGGAGCCATAAGCACAAACGGGCCTCTGCACCCTAAATTCTGCTGAGGCACGGCGCTCACACCTCTCGCAAGGCGTTGACTGACTGCGTTGACGTAGCAGTTTTGTCACTTAACTGTTACGTCAGCGGGCGATGGGGTCGTCAATTCCCTACGCCTTTTTATTATTATTTATTATATTGGGGTATCTATATAGTTTTCTCATCTGGTTGGGTTCTATAAATATATAATTATAAATGAAAATGAAAAGATAAATATACATAAATATCAATAACATAAAATAAATATAAAAATACTTAAATAAATAAAAGCCCAACCAGATGGAGGCCCTCGGCAGGTGAGACCAAACGGCCGAGGGTTAGGGGGAAAGGGAAAGAAACCGGCGGACGATGCGGGCGGTATCGAGGAGCACCGCCTTCTGCATTTGAGCCCGGAGCGGTCCGCCACGTAGTCCCAGTCGCCTCAGATGACCCGAGAGGCTGACTGGGAGTAGCCCGTTTGCAGAGACGACTACAGGAATAATTTCGGTCGGCAGACCACCCCACATGTCGGTCACCTCGTGAGCCAGGTCCAGATATTTTGTATGCTTGTCTGTTTCGGCTTTCACGAGGTTCTAGTCATACGGAATGGTAATGTCGACCAAACATATCCTTGACTGTGCCCGGTCCATCAGCACAATATCAGGCTTATTCGCAAGAATAGTCCTGTCTGTGATGATGGCCCGGTCCCAGTAGAGCCTGGCGCGGTCATTTTCGAGCACGGCTTCCGGCAAGTACTTGTAATACGGCAATTTCCGGTCCACGAGACCATATTTCAGAGCGAGCTCCTGGTGTAGAATTCTGGCTACTAGGTTGTGCCTGTGCAAGTACTCAGAGTTAGAAAGCGCCGAACAACCGGAGATGACATGCCTAAGTGATTCACCGGGATGGCGACAAGCTCGACTGACGTCGACGGTACCATCCTTTAGGATGTATCTCCGATAGTTGTTGGTCTTAATAACCTGATCCTGTATTGCACAGACAAAACCCTCGGTTTCCCCGAAGAGGTCACCGAAACGTAGCCAGTTGAGGGAGGCGACTGTATCTGCGAAGGGCTCATAAAGAGCCCTGTAGTACCTCCCGTGGAGCTCCTTCTCCTTCCATACGGTCTCCCCGGTCGGAAATGCTAAGCACTGCTGGGTCCTGCCATTGCTCGTGGGCTAAGGATAGAGGGGTAAGCCCTTTATCACTAGAAATGACGTCATTATAGAATGGATCATCCGATCTCGCCAGGAAGTAATCACGGAGGCTGCACACTTCGCGATTATGCATGGTGAGCGCGCTCATAAAACCACGCCCACCATGCTTTCGCGGCAAGTACAGCCTCATTACCGACGATCTCGTATGATGCATCCTATGGGACGTCATGGTAGTGCGGACTTTTCTATCCAGGGCGTTAAGTTCGGTCTGAGTCAACCTGAGTATGCCAAAAGTATATATGAGGACAGGCATGACCCAACCGTTATATGCGTGTGTCTTATTCATACCCGACAAAAGGCTGTTAAGCACTTTGGTCAAGCGTGCATAAAACACGTCGCAAACTGACTGTTTCATACCAGCCTCATCGATACCGATGTTCTGTGACATACCCAGGTATCGGTATGTTTCTGCCTCGGAAAGGGTCTTTAAGTTGACGAGTATAGATAAATCTATGCCCTCAGAGTTAGCAACCCTTCCCCTTTCAACATGAAGGACCGCACACTTATCCGTCCCCAGCTCCATTCCAATGGAATTGCTAAATTCACAAGTGATGTATAGCAATTCCATAAGATGGGAGCGACTGGAAGCGAATAACTTGAGGTCATCCATATAGAAAAGGTGGGTCACTTTTGTTCCTCCTTTCCGTAGCTGAAATCCTCTCCCAGAGCCCTCCAGTAAGGTACTGAGAGGGTTCAGATAGAAGCAGAACCAGATTGGACTCAGACAATCGCCCTGGAAGATACCCCTTCTTATCCTTATGTGGTTCTCCGCAGCCATCATCCGCTCGCCCTGATAACAGAGGATCGTACTCCACTGCCCCATACACTGCTCGAGGTAGTCTCAAACTGTACAGTCAATCTTGTACAGCCCGAGGACCCTCTTTAGCCATGCATGGAGCACCGAGTCGAATGCCTTTCTGTAGTCTATCCAGGCGGCGGAGAAGTTCCGACGGTTGCGTTTCACCACTTTGCCAATGACCGCGTCAATGAGGAGTGGTTCCTTGGTTCCACGACCACCGCCCCCGACATCCATTTTGAGCGCGTGACATCACCTGATTTAGCTCCAGGTGACGAGTGATTCTCGCGCTCAAAATGGATGTCAGTGTCTTATATATAGTGGGTAGACACGTGATGGGGCAGTATTTGCTCGGGTCTGTGGTACCCTGATATTTAGGAACCAAGTGAGTGATCCCAGTAGTGAAGAGTCTCGGGAGCGACTTCTGATCGAGAGCCTCTTGATACTGTCGGGCGAGCACAGCGTGACACACTACGAACCCCTTCAGCCAGTAATGATGCAGCCCGTCGAGCCCCGGAATTTTCAAGTTCGGGGCCCTACGGACCGCCTCAGCCACGTCTTCAGGCGTTATGGTGACGGGGTCCATAGGCGTAACACTTGCACTCTGGCTCGCCACAACTTCCATCCAAGGGCCCTCGCTGTGGTTTACGGGCTCTGACCACAGGCCACGCCAAAATGCGACAGTGTCAGCCTGATCCGGTCCTGGGCCCGCTCCACATACCTCTGGTCGCTTCAATGACTTATAGAGCCTCTTCTGATCACTCTGGAAGAGGCGATTTTGGTTGAACCGCCTTGACCTCTCGCTAAATCGTCGAATCCGCTTCCCCCAAGCAGCGATTTTTTGCTTCAGGTCATCTATGCGCTCCGTTAGTTTCTGCGTGATATCCGGCTGGGACAAACTAATATTTGTCCCAGCAAACGCCATTCTAACGGTGCGCACAACTCTCGGTCTAATATTACCCGACCTGAAGCTTGTCAGTCTGCCGATAAGGGCCCTTGCCTATGCGATACGGTTCCTCGATTCTTTTTCTCCAGGCTGGGATGGCACTACCCTTGTTGAGTAGCACGTCCAGCCATTGGAAGTTTGGCGCCAATAATACGGCATACTGCCAGTGCGGCGCCAAAAAGAATTGAGTTCGTCTCGCAAAAGTCCCGGCTGGCTTCCCAATAGGTCACCAGCATTGGGTTAAGAGCCCGCACGACAGCCCGATTTCGCTTGCTAAGGGGTATGCGGGGAAGTCGCGATCGATTTTCGAGAGGCATGCTGCGCGTTTCCAGCATCGACTCTTTCAATATGCTCCTCATTTTCTCCAGTTCGTGGGGGACTATTCCATCATCGTCTGAATCAACCACAAATGGAATATTGACGGCAGCGTCCACATTTGCAGTTTGCTGCGCAATTAGTGGCGCCGCATTCCCAGTCGTAGCATTTCCATCCGATGAGGGAACAGCCTCACGTCGTAGTCGTTCGAGTTCGGCGTCACCAAATATGTTAGAGCGCAGGATGTACCGAACTCGGTCTGCCAGGTTTTGCTCAGTGACGGATAGAGATGGCTCCAGCTCTGCAAAAAAAGCGATGCATCCGAGCCCGATATGCCAAACATCCGGTTTCTTCCCCTTTTGCCCTAAAGTACGCCCACAGTGCGTTTGCGTTCATTGTTTGTGACCAACGCATGCGACGTGCTCCACCAGCGGCGGGTGCCGCTTGCTGAGTCCGAGAAGACCCAGCCGACACCAAGCCTTCTGGTGGGGATGATGGATGCGGAGGGCTGCTAGGTGATCGTACAGCTCCTCGCGCTCGGCTGGCGACCCGCATGCTGCCGCGTCCAGCGCCAGCTCCAGACGCGCCCCGGCGACCCCCAGGCAGCGGCCCTATGCGCGTTCCTCTTTGTACCATCATCCATTTATGGGCGTCAAATAACGGGAGACGCCCAAGCCCGGCACCGTTTCGTGGTTCGGTCTTACGCACAAACGGACCTTTGCACCCACAATTTTGCCTAGGCACGGCGCTCACACCTCTTGGCAGGGCGCTGACTGACTGCGCCGACGTAGTAGTTTTGTCACATAACTGTTACGTCAGCGCGCGAATGGTGTCGTCACTTCCCTACGCCTTTATTATATTTATTATTATTATGGGGTATCTATATAGTTTTCTCATCTGGTTGGGTTCTATAAATATATAATTATAAATGAAAATGAAAAGATAAATATACATAAATATCAATAACATAAAATAAATATAAAAGTACATAAATAAATAAAAGCCCAACCAGATGGAGGCCCTCGGCAGGAGAGACCAAACGGCCGAGGGTTAGGGGGAAAGGGAAAGAAACCGGCGGACGATGCGGGCGGTATCGAGGAGCACCGCCTTCTGCATTTGAACCTGGAGCGGTCCGCCACGTAGTCCCAGCCGCCTCAGATGACCCGAGAGGCTGACTGGGATTAGCCCGTTTGCAGAGACGACTACAGGAATAATTTCGGTCGGCAGACCACCCCACATGTCGGTCACCTCGTGAGCCAGGTCCAGATATTTTGTTTGCTTGTCTGTTTCGGCTTTCACGAGGTTCTCGTCATACGGAATGGTAATGTCGACCAAAAATATCCTTGACTGTGCCCGGTCCATCAGCACAATATCAGGCTTATTCGCAAGGATATCCAGATGGCTGGCGCGATCATTTTCGAGCACGGCTTCCGGCAAGAACTTGTAATACGGCAATTTCCGATCCACGAGACCGTATTTCAGAGCGAGCTCCTGGTGTAGAATTCTGGCTACTAGGTTGTGCCTGTGCAAGTACTCAGAGTTTGAAAGCGCCGAACAACCGGAGATAACATGCCTAAGTGACTCACCGGAATGGCGACAAGCTCGACAGATGTCGACGGTGCCATCCTTTAGGATGTATCTCCGATAGTTGTTGGTTATTATTATTATTATTACATAACAGAAATAACATTATTTCTGTAATGTAATACAAATTACAGAATAATATTTTTACAGAATAATATTATGGTTGTAGCACGAATGGGTCGGCTCGACCAGGCTAGGACCACCATCTCACAATGCTCGCTCAATGGTTCATATGGTGAGTTTAGAGAACCGGATAACTTTTTACTGGAAACGAGGCATCTCATTTTGGCCCTCAGGGGAGTTAACGCATAAGCACTTTGATTCTTAATCGGAGATAAATGTGGATGTTTATGGGCCACAGCATCCACATAGCATCGTGTTGACTACTGCTCGTTTGTCACACTTATTCTATAAAAAAATAGGTCTATCGACAGCTGATCATATGGTTCCGAGCTCAAATACAGGGTCAGACCAAAATCTGTTGTTGAGTTTTTAGTCTCCATTATGACTAGGTTCCGTGATCGAAATTCTTCCTAGAGTAAATTATACACAAATGTAAATCTACAAGGTGTAAACGTTTAAGTTTTTGTAGTCTAACCGAACAGTCGACTGTATGCTTGATTTTCGTCAAGGCGTTAAAAGTTACAGCCTATATAATAGCTCTAATATATGGGAGGGTTTTAGGGCAAGGAAATGTCCGCCGTGCAGCCTCGATGCGTGTGGTCGAAGTTCACATGTATGATTTGAACACGTGGTAAATCAGCACCTAAAATTTCAATTAAAATTTTCGTTAATTCTGGCGGAGATCGAACCCGGGTGACCCCTGTACTGTATAATTCACAGCGAGCGCTTAGCCTCTGAGCTACCATGGCTCTGCGTCGAGGCTTTACATACCCATTAAAATAACATTTCATCTGCAAAGAACCAAAAAGATACGTTTATTCATGTAAATCTATGTATGTTATGCAACATAACATACATAGATTTACATGAATATAAATTTAAATTGGTGTTTGGGTTAACAATACATGTATTTGCAAATTATATTAATTGGATAAAAAATTTAAGAAATTATGATCTTGATTTTTTTATAGGATAGGATGACAAACGAGCACACAGTCCACCTGATAGTAAGTGATTGCTGTGGTCCCTAGACATCTACATCTATACTCGATTACGAATCAAAATGCAAATGCTTTGTGATCCGCGAGGACTTTGGAATGCCTCGTTTCATGTAAAAAGGGTCTTCGGTTCTTTACACTCGCCATGCGAAACACAGCAGCATTAAGCTACTATTTGACGCTGGTATTCTGTGAGAGTGTGGTCCTTCCCCGGTCGAGCCGATGCATTCGTGCTAAAACTATACGATTAATATAGCTGCAGCATGGCTCTACAACGTAAAAAAATGATGAAATTTTTAATTTATAACTGTAATATTTCTTTATTTTATCCTATACTAGCGACTGGTTCTGACTTGACCTGAGCATGGTCTATAAAAGTTACGTTATTTAGATTTAATCATTTTTCGTTTCCTTTTTAATTATGTGATCACTGTTTATCTGCTCATGAGTTTCATTAAAATCGGTTCAAACATTCTGAGAATTAGCCTTTGTCAGATTATTAAAAATGGTTATTCATGTTTTATGGGATGCAAATAATCCCTTGAGCTCACATATAAGGCAGTTATTTCAATATAACAGCAGGCACTTAATTTTTTTTTTATAAATGTATAAACATGAGTAGATTACATAAATGTAAAACATGAGTAGAATACATAAATGTACAATAAATGAATATAAGACTTAATAGAAGATTAAGTAATCGAGGTCATTATTTCGCAAAATAATTAGATAACATCCAAAAGCAAGGCTTTTATTTACTTCACCGTTATGGCATCTCCATTAAGGTACATAATAAATAAAAATATACTTTCGTCTGCTTTGTAACGGCAACAATACTCGGGAATCACCATTAAATATTTAATGACTTAGGAACTAAGAAAAGAAGAACTATTGTAAACTAAATTTGGGAAAGTTTTTAAGCTCAAAAAAAGTTGTAGCTGCAAAGGAAAATGGATTTGAGTTACGACTTTGAGAGGCACACTATAAGCACACTACTTGGAAACTAGCTAGGGTATCATGAATTGCAAATTTAAATGCTACTCACTCACAAAACTTTGAACGCATTTCTGCTCACAGTGTTTATACTCATAGTTGGTACTTTAAACATTACGAGCATGAATACATGTCTTTGTCTACTCTACGTGGTAGAGACTAGAAAAGAGGCATTTCATCTTAGTTCTCAGGAGTGACAACGCATCAGTATTTTGCCAATTGCTCTAAAACTCTCGCACGAATGACAGGAAGTTGGCACAGCATTGGCACATATATAAGCTGTTATTGTAGCATACGTGAGGGTAATATGGTTAATATAGTCATTTTCTAATAAACCAAAAAGTGAAATTTACAGAGAACGCGTAGCCCCTGAGCTACCACTGCCTTTATCACGACTAATATGTGTCAAACTATAATTGTTAGTTTTATTTCAATAATTTATTCAAATTTCAATTTTAAAAATACTCTTATAATTTTAAAAAAGCACAGACAGAGTTTTGTAGCTGAAGTCAAAACACAATATGTAATGAAACGATGAAGTATCATCCAACAGCTATGAAACTAAAAAAGTTGATTATAAGAAAATTCAAATCAATTCACATAAGTGAAACGATTTCCAAAATGTGAATAGATGTGTTAAATATTTTGTAAGTAAAATTGTTAGATTATTTCTATATTTATATTCATATATTTTTATAATAGAATATTAAAAACATAATTTTTATAGGATAGGGTGACAAACGAGCACACAGTCCACCTGATGATAAGTGGCTTCTGTGGCCCATAGACATCTACATCCATTTTCGACCACGAATCTAAATGCAGATGCGTTGTCACCCGTGAGGACTAAGATGGAATGCCTCACTTCCAGTAAAAAAGGGTCTCCGGTTCTCTACACTCGCCATACGAAACACAGCAGCATCAATGCACAACTTCACGCTGGTATTCTGCGAGAGCCTGGTCCTTCCCCGGTCGAGCCGACCCATTCGTGCCAAAACTATACCACTAATATAACTGCAGCATGGCTCTGCCACGTAAACTAAATAAAATAATCCGTTAATTTCAAACATAAGTATTTAAAAAGAGAGTAAAACCACAGTTGCAAATTTTAAATTATGGTTTAAGACATTTATTTTCTCAAAAGATTTACGAATCACTTACAGAGAAAATACACATTATAAAGAAAAAAAAAACATTAAGCCGATTGGCGTAGTGAGCTAGTATTATAATAGGTCGCTAAAACTTATTTTCTAATTGAGTGCTTAATAACTTATTTAGTAAATATTACACATAAGTAAATAGGGTAGTTGCAAAAGTATTCGTACCAAAGCTAAGCAGACCATCGTTACTTCGGTCAAAATTGAATGAATGTGGCGAGTTATTTGTTAAGACCTATGACACATTAACTATTTTATTGTGTTCAAAATTAATTTATAGTGTTAGCTGTTATTGTTTGTGTTTATCTTTTAAAACCATTACTATATGTAATACGATACTATAATTAGGTAGTGTTTCTTTATTTAGTATATTATATATTTAGTATATTATATATTTAGGTATTAATTTGTTTGTAATAATATAAGTAGTGTTGCACATATGTATAATGCATCGTATATGTACATACATACACACATACGTACATACTCATATAAACACACATATAGATATATACACAAATATATGTATAAGTTATCTTGTCTCATATCTATAATCATACTGTGTATAAGTAATTATATTGTATTATCTCTATACAACTATTTTATTGTAGATAGGTTGCATGTGTATTTCATATATTATGTAGATTAGAGATTTGTGATTATTAAGTTAATATGAAAAATCCTTTAAAATGTGGCTTTTTAGCAATTTCTTGAAAGTGGACAGGAATTTTGTTTCTTTAATGTTATTAGGTAATTTGTTGTAGTGTTGAGCTCCCTCATAAAGAACACTCCTTTTTCCATAGTTTGTTTCATATAATCTCAAATATAGGTTATTAGCCTGCCTTGTCATACGTTTATGATAATCTATCTTTTTTTGTAAATGTTATTTGAGAGTGAGTAGCATTAGTAAGTATTTTCCTAATAAAAATTCATATTTTATATTTGTACGTTTGGGCTAGATTAAGTAATTTGGTTTCTTTATATATTTGAGTGGTAGGTGTTAAGTATTTATATTGGAATAATATTTTTATGATTTTATTTTGTGTAACTTGTAGTTTTTGCAACGTTGATTTAGTAGCTGAGCACCATACCTCAATCAAATAATCTAAATGAGGCTTAACTAAAGAGTTATATATGGTATATTTGACATGTCTCGGGAGACACAGAACTATAGTTTTTAAAGCTCCTGTTAATGAGTAGATTTTACTATGGATCTTCTCAATATGTTGTTTCCAGATAAGACGACCGTCAAGAACAAGGCCTAAATATTTCTCGTTGTTAACTTTGGTTAATATTTCACCATCAATAGTAAGAGGATTGTGACTTTCAATTTTTCTATTTTTTGCACTAAAGATTACGTATTTTGTTTTTGGGGCATTGATTGTTATTAAGTTTGACTGTAGACAGGTGTGTAATATGTGTAAGTCTTGCTGGGCTTCACTTAGTACTGATTGTAACGAGTGACCAAAGTAGAAGAGGCTGGTGTCGTCAGCGTATTAAGTGATATCTCCCTTTAGTCCAATTTCATATATGTTGTTTACATAAATAAGGAACAAAAGGGGTCCCAATATTGATCCCTGTGGTATGCCACAAATAACCGGTTTGGGGGCTGCTTTGCTGATTATTAATTTTGACAACTTGAAATCTATCAGAAAGATACGATTTAAAAATGTCAAATGCCTTTCCTGTGATACATATGTCTTTTAGTTTTAATAATAGGATGTCATGGCTGACTGTGTCAAAAGCCTTTTTCAGGTCAATAAAAATACCTAATGTAATTTTTTTCTGATCAATATTAAGTTTTATATTGGTTACTAAATCAACAGTTGCAGATACAGTGTTAGACTTTGGGCGGAAGCCATATTGCTTTTTATAGAGGTAATCAATAGAAGTCAGGTAGTCATATAGTCGTTTATGTAGTATTTTTTCAAATAATTTCGACATTACTGGAAGTACCGATATTGGTCGGTAATTGTTTGGGTCTTGTTTGCTTCCGGCTTTAAAAATAGGACTAACTTTTGCAGTTTTTAGGCTAAATATCACTTAAACATTTATTAATACAAATAGCGAGGTTTTCTGCCATATTGTCTTTAATACACTTTAAGGATTTTGTGTTCATGCCATCTAAACCGGAACTAGCGTTAGAATCTAAGTCTTTTATTATTTTCAGTACCTCGTCTGCGGTCGTTGGGTTTAATTTTGATAAATCAGTGTTGTTGTTTTAGGTATGTTGTATGACAGTGTTTGTGTAAAGTTTTTATGATATTTTTTGCGGTATTTTATTTGCAAGTTCAGGGCCTATAGTGACGAAAAATCTGTTAAAATACTCACATATTTCTTTAATATTTGAGATTTGACCATTGGGGGTATTTATTTTTAAATACCTTAGGTCTGCCAGATCTGATTTGTTGTTTGACAGTCTATTAATTAGTTGCCACATTTTTAAAGGACATTTCTTACAATCCGTGAAAGCCATATGATAAAATTGTTTTTTAGCTGTTTGGATATTTGCAAACGTAAGGTTTCTTTGTTTTATAAATTCTGTTCTCAAATTTTCATCTTCATGTGTTTGTTTTAAGCTGTACCATAGTTGGTTCCTTTTATTTATTAAAGCAATTAGGCCCCTGTTTATCCACTCTTTGCAAGGCGGATTGACCACTTTTGTTTTTCTTATTCTATTTTTTTTGTAATAGTTTGTAGTAGTTGCCATTCTAGCTCCTCATATACTTGAAATGACTTGTTTTGAGAAATTTATTTAATATCGTTCTGCAGGTTGTTATAGTTAATTGCTTCATATTGAACTTTTTTTATGCGTTCGGTTTTCGGTCTGTTTAACTCAAGATATATTTCTTTGTGATCAGCTATGGGGGATTCAATAATATACATTTGGAAAGTATTATTTTGTAAGTTGGTACATACATGATCTATAATAGTTTTGGATGTTGTGGTTTCACGAGTGCAATACTCGGTGTTGATTTTATTCAGTATTCTTATTTTATTCTCTCGCAGCAGTTCTTTATATTCTTTTACGTGTTTGTCGTTAGTATGTAAGTTAAGATTAAAGTCGCCGAAGACACGCTTTCTTCTTTCAAGGTGTTGGTTATAGTTTTCAAGAAACTTGTCAGTACTTGCTGCTGGCTGTTTGTATATGGCACCTATGTCCAGGAAAAAGTGTCAAGATGTACCCATAAAAAGTGGTTTCCGTCTTCACATTGATCCTCCAATAATTCGTGTTTCAAATCCTTATGAATGAACAAAGAAACTCCACCACCTCTAGAATGTTTTCTGTAGTTATAGTAGTGAACATAGTTTGGTAGTTTTAATCTCTGTGCTTCGTCTTCGTTTTTTATCCAAGTTTCCGTAATAATTAAAACATGAATCTTCGTTTCGAGTGATTCCATAATACAACGTATTTCATCTAGTTTGCCTGGCTTAACTAAACTGCGAATATTGGCGTAGAAAATTTTTAGTGCTTTGTTTGTAATAGATAAATCTGCATAATTATAATGATATTTATGAGTTATAAATTTATCCTTATTTTTAGTTATTGTATATTCTCTGGTGTCCCTTTTTTTGTTTCCTGTTTTATTATTTTGGGTGTTCCTTTTATATACTTTATAATTAAATCGTTTTCCCCTTTTTCTTTGCGCTGACGTAACTCTTCTCGAAGGTTTGCCATTTCTTGTTTTTGGTTAGGTGTCTGGTCGGAAAAGATTTTTGTATTACTTACTTTGCAGTTAAATTTATTTTTTAATAAGGTTTTTGCTATATCTGGAGTTAAAAAGCAAACTTTTAGTGGGCGCGTTTTCTTCCCATCATACTTGCCTAGGCGCATTATTCTTTCTGGTTGGGGGGTAAGTGGATGGATGCCTGATAGTACTTTCATCACTTCACATCTATCATTTTCCCTCTTTTCTTCCATATTTTCTGAATGTGGTTCGAAAATGCCAGTGATTATTATATTCTTGGCGCGCTCTAAACGCTCTTGAACTTCGGTCATTATATCTGCATAACTATTCGCTGTCGGTTTAGGACATCCTGATGGTAAGGGGGCATGTACAGTGCTCTGAAGAGCCTGTACATCATTTTCAATACATTTTATTTTTTCTTCATTATAAGTGACAGTATTTGTTAGTTTTTGTATTTCAGACTTGAAGGTATTATGTTCTAGGAGCAGCAAGTCCGTTTTAGTTTTCATATCAATAAGTTGTTCATTGATAGATTTGATATCTGTTTTTATAGAATTGATGTTTTCTGTCTGGGATTTACCAAACTCCTTTAACACTCCTATAATTTCCTTTTTAAATTCATTGAATTGGACCGAGAAATCATCCTCAGGCACTTTTCTTTTGCGTTGTGACACATTTTTATATTCGTGCTCAGTTGCTGCAATGATTGACAGGTCAGGCTGGGAACTACTATTCCCACTAATAATATTCATTTTGTCACTAGATTTGGTTGTAGATGAACGTTGGACACTCATATTGTTGTATGTGTAAATAAATTTCCCGCTCCGCTTATCGCTCCGCTCGGTTGGTATGTGCGTGACCCTCACTATTGAATAGTTCTTTCCGAAACCAGTAGTAAATTAAAGGTAAATTAAACATAAGAATGACTTTAAATTAAATGTTATTGATATTGAAGAATAAACTTTCTATTTTTTATTTCTATTATTTGCGTAAATATAATAAATCCAGCCTTTATTTGTCTTTGGACATATAAATTAGATTACGATTTTTTGTTCTTACCATGGGCACACTTTATTTGCAATAGCACTATAATTTGGCACAATTAAGTTTAGAATTATTTAGCACTACTATTTTGAATTTAATTTGTCGAAGTAAAGAGTAAACACGTCCGCTCACTACGCGAGTCAACACTGATGAATTCATTAGGAGAACCTTAAAAAAAAGAATTCATAAATAACATTGATAGTAACTCAATATGTAATTTAAGGCATAAACAATAAAACTATAAAAATATGCACGATCTTTTTGAATTCTTCATTCAACTTAAATGTGTGTTTATACGCAAAGCCATGTCGCAGCTACGTTATGACTGTAGCAAAAATGGATCGGCTCGACCGAGGAAGGGCCCCGCTCTCCCAGAATATCAGCGTGAATTAGTAGCTTTATGTTGCTGTGTATCATATTGTGGGTGTAGAGCTTTTTACTGAAAACAAGGCATTCCGTCTTATTCCCCAGAGTTGCCTGCATGGGTCTGCATTTTTATTATTAACTGAGGATAGATACATATGTCTATGGACCACAGTATTCATGGGTGACAAAGAAAAACATAGACTACCTGATGGATAGTGTAACATGTGGCGTATAGATCTAGATAGAGACCTTTATCTATTATCGATTAAAAATCAAAATGCAAATGCGTTGTTACCCTTGGGGCCTAAGATTTCGTGCTTCATTCACGGTAGAAAGTGTGCAGTACCAAATAGCCACACTCATAGACATAGAAAATTCACAAATTATCCAAAAAATAAACCATGCAGAACAGCGAATACGTTGGTTGCGCAATCGTTTCCAATTAAATTGAAACTTATAATAATTTATCACCAATCGGAAGCAGATGACCCTTACAATGGAAAAGTCAAATATGGCAGCCCGCCAATGAGTAAAGGTCAAGTATTCTTTCAAATAGCCGATGCTGTAGAATACCACAACTAATGGTATTTTAGATAGCATTTGACTGTTAGGAACAGACAAAGATGAAAATTATTTTTAACATAGCAATACATTAAAGAATGTCGACCCGCCCGTCTGGACAGGATTTATACCCGGATGATATACCCGGTATAAAAAGGTAAACGTATAATACGAGTATTTATCATATTATTGCAACTTTGAATAAACTTATAAAAAACATACTTATGTTTTTCTGTAGCATATAGCCAAATTTCAATCAAATTTGGCTATATTACTCTAAAAGAGATCCAATTATGCTTATTTGGGTGATGTTTCTAAATTGAATCCCACGCGAGCGAAGTCGCGAGTAAAAGCTAGTTTATAATAAGATTTTAGAATATATCGAATTTCTTATTATATTTTTTATTTAGTATATTTATAATTTTTATTTTTATTTTTCATAATTTCATAAATATGTATTGGTATTAAAACCAGCCAGATGCAAACAGTACAACCAAAGAGATTTATCTTCAATTTCATACAAACAAATGTTTTCCCCGACATATTAATTGTATATTATTATTTAAAAAAAGTCCCATTGGGTTTTTGCCGGTTTTTCCCAGGACAGTTGCTTTTTCTAAACCAGTGGTAAAAGGATAAATCACTTTCAAACTTTCAATGAGTATTCTTTAATGTATTTGTATATTGAATAAAGATATTCTGTTTTAATAAATTCTATTTGAAATGAAATAAAATCTATTCTAAAATCCATGATTTTATATAATACGAAACGTATGCTAATTAATTGAATTATTCAAATATTATTCAAAGAAAATGAATTCCTTTTAATTAATATGTAATTTCATTACAAAATTATACAAGTACAATTAAAACTGAATATGTTTGTGAAATTTCCATTCTGATTATATTACATTACAAAAATAGCTTAATGCCTCGCTAGACAATTACGTGATAGAGTCACACTGCAGCTATATTATGGTTGTAGCATTAACGGAAACTTGGTTACACGCGAATATCAGCGACAATGAATTTATAGACGATAGGTATCATATTTTTAGAAAGGACAGAAATCGTGCAACGACCGGCCGGCAAGACGGCGGAGGCATACTGATAGCGGTGCACCGTTCACTCTTTCCTGTAGCTCGTCTTGAAACGCTGACGCATGACTTTGAGCCCCTCCCGCCTCTTGTTGATTTTTTATTACTAGAGTTATGCATTGCAAACTATGTTTATATTCTCTCAGCCGTCTATATCCCACCTAATCAAAATTTTGATACATATAATAGTTTTTTTTTAACTTATAACAAAACCAAATATCTGGATCGACTGCAAGTTTTATTACAATTGGTGACTTTAATCTGCCGAATCTTGGCTGGATTAATACCGGCCAGGCCCTTATACCTATAATAGATTTAAACTTGAATCCCTCGTGCTGGTGCCTAATTAATTTTATATCACTATTAAACGGTCATCAAGTGAACTATATTCTTAATAAAAATAACAGAATCCTAGACTTAGCTGTAACACATACAACTAAGTGCAGCCTATCATCAGTGATCTCACCGTTGGTACCTCCCGATGCTCTTCACCCCCCTTTTGAAGTTTTCATTACATTATCAGAATCACAAAAATACCTAGAACGTAATATAACATTTCGACAATGCTATAGATTGGCTAACTATGATAAAATAAAAGATTAAATTATAAAAATCGATTGGAAAAATCTTTTTTGGCCAAAGATGCCGAAGATGCTGTTGCGTGCTTTTATGAGATAATTTACAAAATTATTAAAAAACATGTGCCAATCAAAGAAGTCAAACCTAATCGTTTCCCTTGTTGGTTTACGCCTGAATTAATTCTGATATACAATAAAAAAAAACCGGGCTTGGACAAAAATGAAAAAATATCGAAGTGAATCGAATTACAATATTTTTTCCATATACAGAAATAAATTCGAAAAAGTTTCAGAACGTTGCTATAATAACTATATTAGTAAAGTAGAGAGTAGTATTAGGGATAACAGTAAATTCTTTTGGACCTATTTGAAAAATCGTAAAAAGATCTCTGACATACCGAGTACTGTTAATTTTAAAGATAGGGTGGCTACAGGTCCTAACGAAGTTTGTTCAATATTCTCTAGCTTTTTTCATTCGGTTTTTGAGCCAACTATGGTCACTGATGACTTTGATATCCAAGATATCATTGTTGACGATACTAAAACACCTGATATTCTTATAAACGACATCAAACTCACAAAACTTGAAGTCACTAACCAATTAAAGATGTTAGATGTAACGAAGGGTGCCGGGGTGGACAATGTCCATGCTCTGTTTCTAAAATCAACTGCTGAGGTTATTGATGAACCGGTATGCCTCCTGTATAATAAATGTTTGCAATTCCACATTTTTCCCAAAGTCTGGAAAACTGCTACAATAGCGCCCGTACACAAAGGAGGGTCTAAGAAAGAAGTTGAAAATTATAGACCCATCTCCATACTACCTGCGTTAGCGAAGATTTTTGAACGATTAGTACATAACGCCGTTTATCCGCTTTTACGTAACGTTATATTGCCACAACAGCATGGCTTTGTTAAGAATCGATCTACTGTGACTAATTTAATAATTTACTCGACCTTCCTATTTGAAGCTCTCGATGCACGTAAGCAAGTTGACTGTGTGTACACAGATTTTCGCAAGGCATTTGACCGGGTCGACCATAAAATGCTACTAGAAAAAATTGCCTATAATGGAATAAGAGGTAATCTATGGCGGTGGTTTAAGTCTTACATTTCAAACAGAATGCAAAAAGTGGTTATTAGGGGTCATGAATCGGAATGTGTACCGATTACCTCGGGCGTGCCACAAGGATCTATTATTGGTCCTTTTCTATTTATAATATTTATAAATGACATTAATACGTGCTTCCGTTCAAGTAGGTTCCTTTTATATGCTGATGACTTAAAGGTATATAAAATTATCAACAACACTAATGACTATTTAGAATTCCAGGATGATTTAAACCGTTTCACATCGTACTGTAATAGAAATAAGTTAGAACTCAGTCTTAACAAATGTAAATCTATAACTTTTACAAAAAAGAAAAAAACCAGGTCTTGCATCTATTATTTATGTGATACCCCCTTATCTCAAGAAGTAGCAATCAGGGATCTTGGAGTAACTTTAGACACTAAACTACATCTAAGTATACACATTGAAAATATTATTAACAAAGCTTATAAGATGTATGGTTTCGTCGTCCAATCCGGTAATATGTTTAAAAATCCATTGACTTACTTACATCTTTATAAATCCTTAATAAGATGTCATTTAGAGTATGCAGTGACTATTTGGAATCCTCTATATAAAAAATATATTGATAAACTAGAAATTGTGCAGAAGATATTTCTTAAATATATCCATTATAAATATGCGAGAAAAAAAACCGTACAATCAACTCATGGCAAAATATAATCTTACCACTCTTAAATCAAGGCGTACAATTCTCGAGGCAATGTTATTTTATGACCTGTGTCACAATAGATACGACTGTATGGATATAACTGAGAATATAAATTATAGAGTACCTACCAGAGCACATCAGCGCGTGGCCCATTCTCATAAACTTTTTTGTATTAATTTATGCCGAACTAACGCGGGACGAAGGTCCTCTTTATCACGTATGATGCACTCGTACAATGAGAATTTTAATGATATCGATATTAATGCCATTGGACGAGGTAATTATAAGAAGATTGTCACTGAGAAATTTAAACAAGTACTCATTGAGTAGATAATGGAATATATGACACGACCATTTAAAAAAA